AAAAAAAAAAAATATCTTCCCAGGGTTGTAAAACCATCATCACAATAGAACTGTAGAACATTTTCATCTCCTCCACCCCCCACCCCCGCCCCAAGAAATTCCATACCTATCAGCTGTCACCCTCCCTCTAACCTCCCCTCTTTTCCGTCTCTACAGATGTGCCCATTCTGGACATACCACATTACAAATGGAATCACAGGTTATACGTTACTCTGTGACTAGCGTCCTTTAGCCTAATGTTTCCAAGGTTCATCCATGTTGTAGCATGCGTCAGGACTTCATTATGGTTTATTATCAAACAAATTTCCATTGTATGATTATAACACATTTAGTTTATCCATTCATCAGTTGATGGACATTTTGAGTTGTTTCCACTTTTTGGCTATTATGAATAATGCTACTATGAACATGTGTGTACCAGTTTCTATGTGGATGTACATTTTCATTTCTCTTAGGTTATATTCTTAATGAGTGGAATGAGTGGAAAGAGGAAACAGTGCTGGTTTAGAAGAGTTCTGGGTACAAATGTAAGATTAGTCACTAATCAATTCTGAAAGTTTAAGGCAAACCCATCAAATCGGTCTCCACCTAGGTAATAAAACTAGGAGGCTGGTCTAGAGGCTACTATTATTCTTTCACCTCTACATTTCTATTAAGTTTATCTCCTTGGGGGTGAAGAAAATCTTTTACATTGTTCATTCATTAAAATGAAGTTAGGGAAATAAAGACTATTCATTCCATAGCAAAGGACAGAATTATAAGAGAATTTCATAATAACTGAAAACTGTATTAACTGTTAGGATTTAAGGCCTCAAAAGCTCTGTAAGAAAGAATGCTATTATAGAATCCTGAAATGAAAAAGGTCTTAGGCCATATTGGCTAATATCCTAACGAAGATTTCTATGTAACAGGGTGAAAGAAAATTAAAGCCCCAAAGCTTTATAAATGCAGAAGAAAAATGATTATTAAAATATGTATTTTAAGAAACATATCAGTAAAACATTTTAAATTTTGCAAAGAACTACTACACAATAACCTCCTTCAAAAGCTACCTCAAATGGAATTTAACAAAATATCTGAAAGCAACAAAAAATATTTCCTAAAGAATATTAATTTTGACATTGGAAATTTCTAAGCATAGTATATTTATCAAAATACTATTCATATTTCAACTTCAATAGAAACATAAGTAGTTAACATTTACTCTTAATCATTTCTGTAACAAGGTGATCAATGTGATAAAGTGGTTTATAATGGGAAAAATTTTTTACCTTGAAATAAGAATTTGTGGACACAATTTACCTTTCAATTGTGCTTAGCCTAATACTAACGATCACCTTATATCATCTGAACATACATCATACCTTTTACATTCTTGTACATCCTATGTAGATCCTTAACTTTAAAGGACTTTCATACTCTACATAAAATAAGCAAAAAAAGCCCTAATGACAAACCTCCAAACAAAATTTGGAGGTACAGTCATGAAAGGAAAATAATGGGAAAGATTTACCAACCATCTAGGATAATGCAAAGACCATGCACAGTGATTTGTATCATCTAAATTCTCACAAAAACCCTGCCAGTTGGAGAATACTGTTCACATTCTACAGAAAAGGCTGACAATAAGGCTCAGAGAAGTTAGATCAATACAAGCTTAGTCAAGGTACAATCTGAGTTTCCACCCTTCAGTTGTCAAATGGGGTTACAAAGGCTATAAAAATTGTGACAGTATCTTGCAAACAATTTTAAACACTCAACAAATGTTAGTACATCTTCCTAACATCTTTACTCTACTCTACTCATATACAATTAACATTTAAATTAGGATCACCTAGCATGTAAATACTAAATCAGGATCTGAACCCAAGTCTGGCTGTACCCAAAACATATTCACTTAACTTTTCTGAGCTTCATTTCCCTCAGCTATCAACGTGTATTTGATGAGAGTTAAGAGGACTAAATAAGACAATGTACAGAATCCTATGTGCCCAGAGACATCTTACATATTCATTCCACCAAGTCAAAATAATGTGCTAAGAAATAGAAACGTTACATATATCGTAACTGATGAGTATTTCCATCCAAAACACAACAGAAATTAAATCACTGATTAGGTATACCTGAATTAAAACAAAAACAAACTATTTTTTAAAAAATTATGTGAAATTAAAGTACTTATTAAACATCTATTACGTGAGATACCAACAAATTATGACTGAAGAAACTCCTACTACCACAATTCCTAATCTTGCCAATGACACGGATTTGCTAATAATTACCAATTCTTATGGCACGAATTATGTTACAAGCACCTTACTCTTTCAAGATTTCCCATCAATACGTGCTATATGCTTAAAGCTTTCATTCTAAAATCACTGAGACACGTACACAAAACAAAGCTGGCCAACTTTAAACCTAATGGGTCTCAAGCTATACCACATATACTTGTGGACACCCCAAGACACTGGCAAACAGTCCTGGTGTTCAGGGTGACAGGACAACAATCAAAGAGGCTCAATACGAAAACTATGTGGCTGGCTTGTAGCATGAACCAAAAAGAAAAAAAGGGAAGGGATAAAGAGAATGAAAAAATTATCAAGAGAAAATATTCAAATATTATATCCCAAATCAAATCAGGTTTGTACAACTTAAAAAATGTGAATGCCCTAAAAGAGAGAAGCAGTAGAAAAGACCTAATTGCTAAGACCTCATGTAACAAAGCTAATGCGTTTTTCGCCATCTCATAAGGAGGAAAACACAAACAAAAACTTCCATAAATTTTTCCTATTAGGCTTCAATGAGTAATAACCAGTAATTCCAAAACCAGACCACCAAATGAGTCAGAATTACTGTATTCCAAAGTCCCATCTTGGTCACAAAGTGGCTGCATGGCTCTAAGAAGTCTCGCCTCCATGCTTGGGCTGCCTCACCTGAAGAACGAAAGCTGTGACTGAGCCGTGGGGGCCACTAGAGAACTGCTAGGGTCCCTCTCAAATATGAAAGTCCAAGATTTTATAAACTTTCAGCTAGTGTACACTTTACAGACAAGCTCTTCCATCCACTTCCCACTCACTACAGTAAGAAAGAAGAACTTTATTTTCTGATGTTCTTCCCATGGTATCTTTGCAATAAACAGACAGCTTTTCCAAAGTTTTCTGTTCTATAATCTATATTTATTTCCTACCTGTTGCTCCTCTGGCATTGGTCTGAAATGGATTTGTAGAAGATGCCACAGAAGGACCAGCAGCAGCAACAAATGGATTTGTGGAAGGCGTAGCTTTAAAAAATTACAAAAATACACTATAAAATCCTAATATATTTGTATTCAATTATTAAAAATATTTATTCATACATTTATGAAGATAGAAAATTAGAGCTTTCTGATAAAAAAATGTTGCTTTCACAGCCTTCCAGTATTCCTAAGAAAATGCAATACAATATACACAAGCTCTTTATAAAAACCAGTCTATGTACCAGAAACACTACCTCCAAAGGGAGCAGGCACACTTGAAGAAGCAGGCTGTGTCTGTGCCGAAGCACCCACTGGCACTGTTCCAAAAACACTGCTGAAAACAAAAACAGAAAGAGTTCTTTTTATTTTTTTAAAGCAAGGGTAATCAGTCTACAGGGTGGCCATAAAATGTGGAAACAGGTAATACTGAACATACCATGTATCACAGCAGTTCTTAAACTTTACATCTCAGGACTCATTTACATTTTGAAAAGTTACTGAGAACCCCAAAGAGTCTTTGTGTAGATGTGCTGTATATTAATAATATGTATAGCACAGAAATCAAAACAGAAATTTTTAAAAATTTCATTCTTTTAAAATTAACCATAAAGCTATTACATGCTCACATAGTAGCATTTTTATGATAAAGAATTATTTTCTAAAACCAAAGGAACTTAAGAGTCACAATGGTATTTCTGCAAATCCCTTCAATGGCTGCCTTAATAGAAGATTGTCCTGTTGTGATACGCTGTTTAAAGTTTAAGAAGAAAAACTGCGCTCATAGACACCTAGCTGAACAAACCAGGAGAATGTGACGAGATTGAGCACATTCAGGGTGGTATGGCCGTAGACAAACTAGGAGAATCTGAATAGCTTTTTCAGGTAACTGTGAATACTTTCCTTGGTATCATACCCAAAATGACAGTGATAGTTCACCAACAGTTAGCTGCAAAATGGAATCTGAAATCATATCAATGAACTCCTTTGCACTCTACTGAAGTAACACCTACTAACCTATCTTGCACTTTAAATGAATCTTTTATTACCAATTTTATATCATTTGGAAAATATCTGATGCAAATCTAAATGTCAACAATTTCCTTATGTAAAAATCAAAAACTTACATTCATTAATATCACCACTCATCAAAAAGTAATGTGAAGCTGTCAAGTTCATGATGGAGTCAATAAATTTTCTAAAATTCTAGTAGTTGCTTGGAAGTATGAATTTTATCAGTTATTTTCCTGAAAGTGACAGACTTAAATATTTCATTTTTGAGGGGCGCCTGGGTGGCTCAGATGGTTAAGCGTCTGCCTTCGGCTCAGGTCATGATCCCAGGGTCCTGGGATCGAGTCCCGCATTGGGCTCCCTGCTAGGCGGGGAGCCTGCTTCTCCCTCTGCCTCTGCCTCTCTCTCTCTCATGAATAAATAAAACATTAAAAAAAAAATTTTCATTTTTGAGAAAATGCCAAATATCCAAATCTGAATAACCATGGTCTATCAGTCTTACTTTTAAGGAAAACCAGTGTTCCATAAAATAACCAGTGTTCCATAAAATAACGGATATATCCATTATTATATGTGGCTGGTTCATTCCACAACTCAAACAACCACACAAGCTGACTGTCCGCAAGTCACCCACCATACTTCAATATGCAGCAGAAACTACTTGATACATACCTTACTTGAATACATAGAAAGTCAGGACATTATTTAAGGATCAATATTTAATAAAATTAGATTTTTTAAAAAGACTTATTTTAGAGAGAGCATGGGGGGGCAGAGAGAGAGAGAGAGAGGGAGAGATCTCAAGCCAACTCCCCACCGAGCTCAGAGCCCGACGTGGGGCTCCATCCCACCACCCATGAGATCATGACCCAAGCTAAAACCAAAAGTTGGACGTTTAACCGACTGAGCCGCCCACGCGCCTCAGTAAAATTAATTTTTTTTATACGGTTTCATCAAGAATATTTGTAAGAATATATAAATAAGTCATAGGGAAGGTATGTACATCACAGTGACCACAGTCAATAATATTATAGTGCATACTTGAAAGTTATAAAGAGAGTAAATCCTAAAAGTGAGCTCTGTATGGGGACGGATAGTAACTACATTTACATCATCATTTCACAATATACACAAACTTCAAATTATGTTGTACACCTGAAGTCAATGTTATATACCAATTATACCTCATTTAAAAAAATTAAAAAAGAATACTCATAAGAAAAACTAAATCAAGACTATTCACAAATAAAACTGAAATGTGTGGTGGTAGGAAATACAATGACTATTAGATGACTACTAGTACAGTTTGGTGTTGTGGTCTTAATTTGTGCTAAAGTGCTGTCAAGTTTTTACTTGTCACCGTTTCTGCACCATCAATACAAATGTCAAATACTAAAAACACAAATAACCTGTCAGATTTATTATGACTATCATTTTATCTTCAAAGACCCCTTGAAAGGGTCTCAGGAACCCCAAATGTTCCATGGACCACACTTTGTGAACCACTAATACACTGTAATATAATATCAATAAACCATTTGTTATGTATACCTGTGTTTCCAGACTTTATGGTCACCTTGCTATAGATCACTATTATATATGTCTAACACAATCTTAATGAAACAAGATATATATAAATACTCCAAACTTTATTCTTTGGATTCAATTTTTCCTTTTTGGCATATAGAAAATTAACTACTGGAGAGTCCAAGTAGTTAGTGTTACAATCCTCCCATTTCCCTCTAGAAAAGATGCTAAAGGGAAACAAAAAGCTACTCAGATAACAGAAGAAAGAAGAGACAAGTCTGTAGGATGGAAAACAAAGAGATGGATAAAGCACTGTATGGTAAGTCACCTATACTTCTGCATCTGTTTGCTTCAGAAATGTAGAAGTTACAACTATAAGAGTTTTTAAAGATCTATTGCTGTTATAATGTGTTAAGACTTCCTGCTGCCGGGTGCCTGGGTGGCTCAGTCGTTAAGCGTCTGCCTTCGGCTCAGGTCATGATCCCAGGGTCCTGGGATCGAGTCCCATATCGGGCTCCCTGCTCTGCAGGAAGCCTGCTTCTCCCTCTCCCACTCCCCCTGCTTGTGTTCCTGCTCTCGCTATCTCTCTCTAATAAATAAAATCTTAAAAAAAAAAAAAAAGACTTCCTGCTGCCAAGAATTCCCTCACATCAGATATATTTGAACACAGTTAAGGACATGTCTATGTGTTAATACTAGTAGGACACTGACGAGATACAGAACTGGGTCTTGGGTTCTCTTGCAAACATTTCTAAAAATGTTTATTTACAGCTAAAGCTACATGTTACTTACAATGTTTAGTCTTCATGACTAAAACCTGTACCTTAAAAGTATATCATTTGCTAAATGGATTCTCTGCTCAGTATAATTAAATCTGTATATAACCCCTCACTCTGAGATGTGTACATACTCTCAATTCCACTTTAGTGTTCAAGGAAGAAAAGTAACAAAACCTTTGATTAAATAAAAACTCAAGGATATTTTAATTAACAAATTAAACTCAAGTTTCTGCAAACTACAAAAATATTTAAGAATTTAAAAAATATGTCCCCAGTCATTATTTAACATTATTATTCAGAGTTGAAAAAAAAGATGCAACATGAAGCAGGAACATTGACTGAGACAAGGTACCTGCTAGCATTACTTGTGGAAGTATATGCGTTACTGGAAGTGGCTGCAGAGCTGAAAACGCTGTCTAGTTCTGCCAGGGCTGCATATTTGTCTGAGGATGCACTTGACTGACTGGGAACTGAAACCACAGAACCAACAGGAGCTTTACCTGCGGTCCCAAAGCCACTCCCCTGATCACCACCTATAAACAAACAAAAACAAATTACACTCGCTGAAAACTTAGTTATGCTTTCAATTTATCAACCACATTTGCCATGAAACACGTGTAAATTTAAAACCGATTTAAAGCTAAGTAAATAAATGGACAGACTCTACAGTCTGATGTAATAAACTACCTAGAAACCATCGGACAAGATTAGTTGCTACAGGTACCACTGTGGTAGAGACAAAATACTGTTTCTGTAACAAAAACGAACACTCTGTACCAATAACATGTCTAGCTTACGTATAAAGAACATATTCTCAAAGTGCTACGTTAACATCTCCAGAACAGGTGATTCTCATTCAAGTGAACATACAAATTTATAAAATGCTACACCCAATGTGAACCCATTAACAGTATCATTTTCCCAGGGTTGTCCGTAAAAAATTAGACAGTAATAAGAGGAGACATTTACACAGCACTTATCATGTGCCAGGCACTGTTCTAAATGACTGAGATACAATAACACATATGAGTTCAACGCTATTACTACCCTCATTTTGGAGCTGAGAAAGCACGGTCAGAGATCAGGATGCAGACCCCAGTCCAAAAGCAGACCTCTGCTGTTCTCTACCACACTACGCATTTTGAGAGGCAAAATACTGGCCTTAAGATCAAAACCAGGTATAAAAATATACTGTAAAAATAATGGGTTTGGTTTTTTTTAAAATACCAAATTAATAGTAAAAATAGTTCAAACAAATATATTACAAAAACCACCATATAACCCTCCAATCAGCACTATTAATAGGATTTGTTGGTCCTCTATGGCCTTCCAACAGTGAAGCATGCTAAGACAAAATTAAATTTTGTCAATTACCTTCTTTTAAAATTAGAAGTCTACAAATAGTTTCTAGGCCTTCCAAAAGGCCTATATTGGATTATTTCACATTCAAAATATGGCAAATAGTCATGAACCTTTAGTATAGAGAAAATTTCTTCCCAACTATGAAAAGCATGACGACCTTAAACTGTAATAAATGCAACCAAATTTAGAGGACTGTTTAATATATAAATTTGTATTTATTTTGTTTAAACTTTAATACCTTGCCCAGCACTGAAGATATTGTCTAAATTAGCAAGTGCTGCATATTTGTCTGTAGTCTGTAGACTAGCTTTGTTCGTTGAAACTTTACTAATAGCTGATGCTGTTTGATGACTCTGGGAAGTATTGAAGGTTCCAAAATCAGCACTGGAGGATTTGGGGAAGTTATCAAAATGAGCAAAATTAGCATTTACTGATCCAGCGCTTCCACCTGTAACAGAATAAACAAAACACTTGAAATTTCTAGACTTCTCCTAAAATCCTTTGATAGATTATATGATTTCTTCCTTAATTAAGTGTTCTATAAGCAATCCTACTGGCAAATGGCATTTAATTTTAATCATCTACATAGGACTTTTTATAATTTGGGAAAATTATAAGGCCCTGGCAACACGTAGAGTAACAAGTTACTATGTGTAATTATCTACCCTCAAGTAGACTATAATTCACAGAAGAGTAACTCCTTGCTACCGGGTTTGAGACTCAGTTATTTTATGAACTATTCAGCTATCTATATACTATCGCCTTTTATTAGTTCTCCCTAAATGGACTCCATAAGCAAGATGCAAAGTATACTATAAGCTCTTGTAGCTCCAAAAGAGACATGGTTGAAACAAATCCCAGGGTAGAGATTTAAAATGTTTAAGATGTACTATTTTGATCCACAGTATCTTAAAAAGTGGTCTTTGAGCTTTAGGCTTATTTTTGTACTTAAAGAGCTAATATTTAATTCCACATAATAATTTAATGTACATATAATATCATGAGTGTCCTCAGTAAAATCATGCCCTATTATACAGTTCAAGGAATAAAAGTTATAGTGCACAATGTATAATCTAAATATCATACCAATTTTTTAATTTATAGGTCACAATTCACCTAATGGTCACTACTGTATATATTCTGCTAAGATTTTAAAGACTGTTCTATACACTAGAAAGTTCCCTGAAGTACTATCAAAAGACTAAAGCCAGACTATTTCATTCTATGCTTTTGATGCTACACTGTTGGTATTCTTTACACCTACATATTAGTTTCAGCAATCAAAATAGTATATACATATACCTATATATTAAATGATAGCAAAGCACAATTACAGATATTTTAAAAAACAGAAAGATACAGCCCTATTTTAAAAAAGAGAACACAAACACTTTACCATCAATTAGTATTATAGACATTGTAAAATTTATACTGATAAAATTTCTTTCAGGAATTAAACTCCAGTTGTTTTCAATCAAACTAAGTAAGGTGTGTTGGTATTTAACATTATGATCTGTTACAAGTAGCTGGTGAACAAAATACATAATACTAAGCTTTCAAAATCTGTATGATGAAATTTACTTCAAATTATTAAAAACTAAATTATTAAATCAACTCTTTTATTGTATACTACTGTGTTCTCTAATTCTCAGTTTAGTAATAGTGAAGAGAGAATAAAAGTGAGAATTTCAGAATGATTATCATTAAGAGATGAGTAACATTCTATAACTGAGAAATCCATGGAACAACATAAAACGTACAAATTAGTAAAAGATGCCTACTTGACAACAGAACTTACTGTTGGAAGCCTGGAGAGGAAAAGCTGAAGTAAATTCACCAAAACTGCAGCTAGATGAAAGCATTCTAAATGCTGGACAGCCAGAAATTATGTAAATGATGGAATTTAAAGAAGAAAAAAAAAAGAAAATTGAAAGAAGTCTGTAAGACAATACAGAGTTAAAACTTGAAAGAAAAATAATCAGCCAAAGATCTAAAGGAGGGTTCAATGAGATTCTGAAAACAATAGTTTATGGGAGAGCACTCAATGCTTAAAGACCGATTCCTGCACAGAAAACTATTTCCAGTCCGATCAGAGTGACTGTTCAGTGATCTCCTTTTGACTACCAGTATTTATCTTCTCAAGCTTGCTGCCCTGAAAACTATTTATATTTCTATGGAAGCGATCCATTAGCTTCCTTTATTCAATGTGCTCTGTGAATTTAAAAAATGTAAAATTTAAAAAATTAAATTTTTAGCACTGTAATGCTCCTGTGCATAAAGAAATTTAAGGAAAATTCATATGCAGGAAAAGGAAGAGAACAGACACTGTGAATTAGAAAACACACCAGAAAGTTAAAAAAAAAAAAACAAAACAGATGAACATAGAAAAAAAGATTTCAGGTTTCCCCAGAGCTTTATAAGGATAGAACTATTTGAAAATCAAATAATTATAGAATTTAAGTTTAGAATAATTTTTCAAACTACATCTAGAGAGTTTTGTGTTTCAAAGTAAACATTAAAGCATAATGCCGGAGAAGCTCTACCTGTAGTTTGGGGCTGAAAAGGAGAGTGACTCGCTGTGGGGAAACCTCCAAAATTACTCGAACCACTAGACTGTCCAAATGCATCAAAGTTTGCAAAATCTGCATTTGCAGAATTCTGAGCTGTAAATGGTAAGGAACAATATATGTTAATGAATATGAAAATTATAAATGAAAAATATGACAAATGAAATTTTATGAAAAGTTTGTCTCACAACTCACTTTAAAGAGAATTCATTTAGAAATCAAATCTTAAATCCTACCAGTGTTTATTTAACCCAGTTTCAAGCAATTCATTAAAAAGTATCCAAAAATTTCCCCCAAAACACTTTGTATAATGATAATGTATACACAATACCCTTTGAATAACCTCAGGAATAGTACAGTAAAAGTGATTCTATTAAAGGAAACTCTAAAAGCATTAAATACATGAATTACAGTAAAGCAGAGATATAGCATATAGATTACATTCTGGAAAATTCAGATTTAAAATGGTAATAAGTGATTCATCAGCTACGTGAATCTAAAATAATGATACAAAGAAGGTTAAATATTCTTTTTGCTTTTTTCTAAGTTTACAAGTATTTTACACCATGGCATATGAAAATTAAAAAATTGAATGTATAACAAGGACATGATTGTCAAATAAATCAGAGATATCCACATTCTGTTTAGAAACCTGCCATTCTTCACAGATACTAAAATTTGAGAAATGATGAAAACACTAAAAATTTATAACATTAGTGTACTTCAGACTCAGTGAAAAAGACCAACTGGTATCTTCCCACAGATCATCAACATAAGAGCAAATTTTTAGGCTTCTCTAAACTTAAAATATGTAGCTAAGTAAAATAATTCAAAAGATTTTTTTTAAAGGCAAAAACGGATGCTGAATAAACTTTTTATAGAGAATATGATGAGAAGTGGTTGGTATGCAGGAAAGAGAATGCTAAGTGGGAAGAATGAAAAGCATGCCCAAAAGATAAAGGTTAAATGCCATCAACATAGTAAAAGTCAGCCACTTCAAATTCTTTGCAGGCAATTTCACTTCAAGGAAGTTTTCATAAAGGAATATAATCTTGTAAATGAATATGGTTACATCTAACAGCTAAACAACATGTGTTTTATAATAATGAAAAAAATTAAAAACTCAAATGGCCAGTAATCAGGGATCATTTAAATATATTATGAAATATCATACAAAGAAATATAAAGCAGCCGTTTAAAAAAAAAAACCACATAGAATATGTAGTCCTATTCAAAAATGCTTATGACAAAGTAAATAAGATAAACAGGTTAATAAATTCCAAATACATTTTCATTTGCCAATTTTGTTATCACGTGCACAGAAAATCTGCATTTTCGTTAACTCAAAGTAGTGAATTTTCAGATTGGTATCATTTTCTCCTTTGCTTAAGCTTTTGCAATAAATATGTATTCTAATTTTTACAAACCAAAAAAGTTACTAAACAAGAAATTTTCTACTACCAAAGTAAAATATTATTCTAGGAAGATAATTAGGAGAACTTACAGCATTTCATGTAGTTACTCCTTTGTGTCTGTCTGAAAGGGTGTGACTGCAGCAGGGGGTGCACCTAACGTAGAACTCTGTTTACTAGACACCTATGGCACCGCCCTTCCTACGTCCTCACACCCAGCACTTCTGAGGTGGAAATGCTATGCTCTATATACATATCACTGGCTCACACTTTGTTCTTGAAAACCCTTCTTAAACACATTTGTCCTGGCTCTCAAACATTACACAGAGGTATCTAAATTAAAAGCCTGCTTATCATGTAACAAAATAAATTCTGTATTTTCTGGATACTCTGAAATCTTTTATTATTTCCAATTAATATAATAAGATTCAATTTATCAGCTGAGATTTTACTTTCCCAAAAATAAACACAATGAAAGATATACTAATAAATAATTAAAGGACCAATATATTGAAAAATATTTTGAACGAAATATCGACACAAGTTTAAATAATAAATATAAGTTTAAACCCAGTTACCATTTAGTATAATCAAATAAGTTTGTGAAAAGGGAATCCAAAATAATCAGAGAATTCCATCCTAACATAAAAACCGTACAGCCTTGGACAAGTCCCCTAATTGCTCAGGCTCTACCAGTTTTTTCACTAGCAAAACAAAAGGATTCACTAGATGACCTGTACTTGTAAATCCAGCAGTATGACTCTACAGCTTATAAGACAACAGGGATGAATTTTTAAGAACTGTGGAATACTAGGCCCAGAAGAGGAAAATTCTACTAAAAGACAAAAGAAGTCGAATATTTAACATATAGATAACATAACTATCAACCAAAAGAATAAAAGAATATGGTATAGGAAGTTCTCAAATTTAGAGTGGGTTATATTGCAAAAGACAAGTTCTAAGTTTTTTGAACAATTTAGCTGTACATCTGAGAATAAATGAAATGAATCTATACATTGGAGAAAAAGGAATTAGGTCCCTAAGCTGGTTTATCACTGATAACCTCGAATATATGTGAATATGTAGTCTATAATAATACACACTCTATATTTAACTTACATTTAGACCATTATAGGGAAAATATATATTTAACATGTTTCAAACATCATCAGGAAACAGATCAGTTCAACAATCCATTTTGTTAGTCAAGTCTATTTTATCACATTTGTAAACACTGGTGTTTTCCAACAGGAGCACCAAACACGTTAATCAAGTATCTATTCATTATAGCAAAGCAGGACTTTGTAATACTTCTTTCAGTTTTTATATGGAGACATTGAATCTACTCAGTTGTCTTCAACAAATGGTTATAGTAACTTTTAAAATTGATAAGTACTGTCGAATGACATCTTAGAAACCACAATTCTGGAAATTAAACACTAATAAATTCAGTAATAACAAAAATTACTAATCTGGAACCTCAAGCAATCTCTATACAAAGAAATATAAACTGAACAGAATGTAACAAATCAGTAAAGATGCTTTTTTTTTAAATGTAATCTTACCTCAAAAAGCGCAAAGAAGTAATCTCAGTTTAAGAATTTAAGGCACTAAAGTTAATGAGCCTAAATCTTGCTGAGAATTGTCTTTCCTCTCCAGTGAGATAGGGTACTTATGAGAAAGGAAGATAAACATAGAGACCAGAGACAGAAACTGACGGCCTTCACCAGATTCAGCTGAATTTGTTTCACCTACATATTTAAATTCTTTTTCATCAACCCCAACACTTAGAAACAGAACACTGCACATTAAATAAACAAGCTTTCTTGCTTCTCTTAAAAGAAAATCAGTGTTATCTGGTAATCCTGAGCCTGTATATCCATGTGTCAACAGGGGATTAGAACATCCCCCTTTGTATGTGGTTCCTTCCACAATACATTATATTACTCACTTGTGTTAAATGGGTGGCAAGACAATGAAGTTTAACATCCATCCCTAGTACGAGGTGTGACAAAAATCAATGACAGTTTATAGTTCATAGGTTTGTGATAGGTTTATTACCACGCAAAGTAACTATTAAATTCTGTAGGTTAATTATGTTTCTAACTGAGTAAGTATTTCTGTAGAAGATGACTTTTCCTGAACACAGCAATAATCCCACCACTGATACACATCCTCACATACCATGTCTGCCAGGATGTTCAGAGGAAGGGTGAAGACGTCTGGCTTTTAAGCCATTAAACTATCTGAAAACATAACAGGTTTCCCTATAAAATAATGCTAACTAGATTGGCATATCTGAATAATTATCATTTGCTATTGAAAGTTCTGTCATATCAATCTGTACACGAGAAAATTTTCACCTAAAGAGGTTTTTTAAGAGGTGCCTGGGTAACTCGGTTGGGCGTCCAACTCTTAGGTTTTGGTTCAGGTCATGATCTCTTGGGAGACTCTGCTTGAGGATGCTCTCCCTGCCCCCCTCCACCTGCTGCACGCATGCTCGCTCACATGCCCTCTCTCTAATAAACAAATCTTAAAAAAAAAAAAAACTTAAAAAAAACATGAAAATTTCAGGGTGCCAGCTCGGTTATCAATGACTTTGTATTTGTGGACCATACATGGAAAAATAAAGATTCAGGGTTCTTGTAAAGGTTAGGGGAAAAAGACATAGAATGGAAAAAGAGGAAATAAATGAATAATTTTTATTAGCTTCTTCTTGTAGCATGTGTATATATTTTATTCTGGAATCAAAGGAGTTTTTTTTTTTAAAAGATTTTATTTATTTATTTGACAGAGACAGCGAGAGAGGGAACACAAGCAGGGGGAGTGGGAGAGGGAGAAGCAGGTTTCCCACGGAGCAGGGAGCCCGATGTGGGACTCGATTCCAGGACCCTGGGATCATGACCTGAGCTGAAGGCAGACGCTTAACGACTGAGCCACCCAGGTGCCCATCAAATGGATTTTTTTTAAAAAAAGGTGATTTAAGTGTGCATTCATAAAGAAGAACTTTAGGCTAAAAAACTACTCCTCTTAGGCAACCTAACCTAACTGACATGGTTATTAAACTATATCCTCACAGACCCATCTTTCCTACCATTTCCATCACATGTGGAAAAGAGACAAAATAGTTAAGATCTACTATCTTCTAACAATCTGATAAAATTACAGGTTTCATTTCTTTCCTTTTTTCTTTAACATATTCTACAATTAAATAATGGCTATTATTTTTCAACAAGCATTTTAAAGGAGTTACTGATGCTATGAGTAAAATCATGGTACCAAGCAGCCTGTAGGGCCGCAATGACCTGTATAGCTACTTCTGGCTAACAAGGCTACCTGGAAGAGTATAGCATTCATTCCCTGAATGGTGAATATTCACAAATTGCATTTAAAGACAAAAACACAAGGGAAACATGAAACAAGTTGCAAATTTACAAAAGAGCCTGGTAGTTACTTATCAATCACTTCAAATTATGTATCAGGAAGTATAAAACTGAGATAAACGCAAACTGTTCATGAATTACAGAAGGTTCACTCTATATTCTATTCTTTGATTCTTCAACTCCTTTTGCCAGCATTCAAAAGCAACAAGGGGCAACAGAGAGCTGGGGCTCCTCTTTGGTCAGAGGAGACTGGCTACCCACGTGGAGGGTGAAGGGGAAAAAGTCTCTCCCGGTTTCCTGGGCTTTTCGCTGCAGAGCTAATACAGAAGGGAAACCCATCACAGCCCCAACATCTTAAGCTCCCTGACTTCTTACCCTTCTCAGTACAATCTTTGCTGAAAGAGAGCCCCTCTTCATCCTAGGATCCCTTTTTAAAGCAAACACACACACAAACATATGTAAGTTACACCATAATTTCCTTCTGTAGCAGGCCCTTAGAAAATTCATTAATATTTATTTTTTTCTCATTAATATTTAAAAGAAAAAGTTCCTTTAATGCTTGCTAGAAGGAAATGTGGCTGAAGAGCAGCTTTTCCATAGTTTTTCAAACTATCTTAAACAGTACATTTGGGGGAGGGGTGTGTGTATATATATGTATATATGTTATACTTTATACCCTTATTATCCAACTATATAAGCCAGGTCATCAAATTAAAAAGACGAACAGCATCACAATCTCATGGGTGAGTAAAAGAAGGTAAAATAAGTTCTAAAATACAAATAGGAAATCAATTCTGTAAGTGCTAGTTTCTGCTATGCCCACAAAATAGTGAAATACAAGTTTTAGAAAGATAGTCGTGAATTTTTCTTGATTATATAAAGTTATGAAAATCAGTGACAAAGAAACAATAAAAAACATTAGCTAATACCCCATACAGTCATGCAAAAATATAAAGCAAAGTTTCAAATAATCAAATAAAAGGGCTACAAAATGACTAAATCAATTCTTAATTTTAGTGCTCCACATTCGGTTTGATGCTTACTCAACCATTCACAAATGCAGACAGGTAAATTTTCTGTGACATACACATCAAAGCTTACTGGCATCCAAAAGATTATTTCACACATATCTCTGATATATACAATGTAGGCTTTCAGACCGTTTACATCAGACCTTATTTTTTTTTGTCTTTTTTTTAATTTTATTATGTTATGTTAATCACCATACATTACATCATTAGTTTTTGATGTAGTGTTCCAGGACTCATTGTTTGCGTATAACACCCAGTGCTCCATGCAGTATGTGCCCTCTTTAATACCCATCACCAGGCTAACCCATCCCCACACCCCTCTAGAACCCTCAATGTTTCTCAGAGTCCATAGTCTCTCGTGGTTGCCTCCCCCTTGGATTTCCCCTTCATTTTTCCCTTCCTACTATCTTCTTTTTTTTTTAACATATAATGTATTATTTGTTTCAGACCTTATTTAAAAAAGTAGAAGGAAGCATAAAGAAACAACTCTAAAGACTGACTCCATTCTGACTCCAAAGCCTATTTCTTTTCACTACATTATACCATTTCACTGTCCATTGTAATTATTTACTATTACAATTAGAAAGGCACAAATGAATTCATCTATACTTTAATAATCAATTTTTAAATATTACTTAGGTAACTGCAAGGTTTATATATTCATTTACAAAACAAAACTCCGTAATTTCTAATTTCTGCTGAAGTACATTTAACTCTTTGTAACAAACATGAGAAATCTGGGAATAAAAAAAGAAGTCATATCTTCTAGAGCCAACCTGAAGATACTGCTATTCTAAAGACGGGATAATATGAATATCAATAAAGATAATAATGACAACAGATTTGAGATGTAGCAAATGTTAAATCTATGAATCCATAATGATATGAAACAAAAAACAGATCATCATTAAAATATGGTGGGGTTTCAACTCATTCTGATATGTGACTGGTCAGAATCAGTCATATAGTAACTTTCCTACACAAATTATACCATTGGATAACCGAAGATTTTTGAAGAAATATTTCAGCTCATAAATGAAGGAATGATAAATTTAGAATATCAACATTTTGCATAATGGACCCAGGCATGGAGCATCAACAGCTCACATTACAAAAACAGAAACCATCAAATAATATGTGCCTCTTAAACCGTAAGTAGCAGGTTTGCACGCCGCCAAAAAAATAACCTGTAACAGATCATATATCCAGAACCAACTATCAATGTATAGAGAATACAGAGAGAGGAACCTGTCAAGGAACTCCACAGTGGTGCACTCAACAAATTCAGAGTAAAATCAACTACATACTCTACAGGACAAATAACCTGATTTCTTCAACAAATAACAGAGGAGAAAACAGAGATGGAGGAAGAACCCACAGACTATGTGATATATCTCACAAGTGCAGTGTGTACACCTTATCTGAATAAACTCTGTGTGTGTTTGTCCGAACTGGAATGGAAAATTTGAATAGTGACTAATGAATAATAATAATTAATTATTATTAGGGAGTGATAACACTACTGTGGTTATGTTTAACAAAGTTCTTCTGTTTTATAGATACATATAAAATATTTAGAGATAAACAAATATATCTAAAATTGCTTCAAAATAATTAAGAGGAGCAATATAAGGAGTAGAATAACAAATGAAACCAGATTAGGCATAAGCAATGAGTACACAACGGTTCTATTATCTGGTCACTTCTGAATATTTGCAATTTTCCATATTAAAAGGGTGAAAAAATACATTAAAAAGTCTTTCCCCATTTTTCTTTGGAAAGAGGTCATGTCAGTATCTGACATTAAGTATAATCTCTTCTGTGATTAAAAAAGCACCAGAGTTACATGGCTACATATTACACGTCAACAGCTTTGAGGGCCCACCCCCTCAATAGAACACATTTACTGATATTTAAGTTTTAAAAAGAATGGATGTTTCTCAGTGCTATATATACGCGTCTGGTAAAAAGCTGTTGGGGAAAAATACACGTACCTGCGTGACTGTTGAAATGTGCAAAGTTAGCAAAATTGGCTGTAGCTGTTGATTGAGGTGCTGGAGCAGCAAAGATGTCTGAGCCAAGATCACTTAAAAGGTCAAACTGCTTCTTTTCCTGCTGCTGCCCTTGAGAGCGACCTACAACTGGAGACTATAAACCACATATTAACTATAAAGAGCTTCCGGTCAGATCTGCTACATTTTTTTACTACTATTTCCAATTCACCAAGTTTAACACAGTTTTAAAGATTACATAATCTTTTATTTGTAGTTTTGAATACTTTGCTATTTTTCGAAGAGCACAAATTTTCAACATCTATTTCCAAATTATCTCTCAATTCTAAGTACAAAGTCAAAGACAAAAAAACACTGTATTACAACAGTTGTTACACCTTCTAACACAAGACAGACTTACTGCTAAGAGAGCAATGATAAGACTTTCACAAAACACATCCTTTATATGATGGGAAGAGTACAACATACTGACTTAACCCTTCTCTTTATTTTTGACTCAAACCTCTTGTGAAAACTGAGTAATTTTATCCAGATGCCCAAGTGCACATTATTAAAAAGGGTAGGCTTTTATTCAAATAGTACTATGCCTCAGAACCATTCTTGTGTAGGGCAGACGTTGTAAAGCCAGACAGGAAAAAATTTGTCACAGCTCAGTCAATTGTAATAAAGTGCAGAAACACTAACTTTTTTACTAAGTTATGAAAAGACTTCAGCCTGTTTAGTTTTTTAAAATAAGGTATGTAATGCAAAGCCACCTGTATTTCGATGATAAACATGCTTCACAACCAGGCAGGGAGAAAATTCTACTGCTTAAGAAATTCCTTCTTGTAAAAGTCCATCACAGAGACTATACTGCTCTAACTCTGATGGTCCCCATACAGTCAGGTTTTACTAAATGTAAGTTATATAATAGCTAGCTATTAACAACATTCCTGTATACCTTTACAAACCTGTGGAGCATTCAAAGAAACTCTAATTTGCATAGCAAAAGAAAACAAAAATATGCACCTCCCAACCACTTAACCAAGATTCTTTTCATGTATTATAAACCTTTAGGACAGAACGCTGTTGGTATATAGGTTTATGCTACTGTCTTAAAGAATTCTCAAATTCATGACACTCACTATCCTCCTTACGTGGAAGCCTCTACAAGGCCTTAAGACTACTCACCTGACTAGGTGTGCCCTTATTTAAGTGCAGTGCTGGTGCTGAATCTCCTAAAAGAGACTTCAGTGGTTTGACCTCAGGTGTGCTGCTTGTGCTACTGGCAGAGGACCCTGAAATAGATGCATGAACTGATGCCACCACTTTGGCTTGTTCTGGAGGGACGTACCTAAAACATATGAAAAATTAAGCAGGCAGTTACCTAAGAAAAATGTAGGGAATACTATGCTTAAAAATGATACACTTAATTCTCATTTTTTTACGAGACTATTTCAACACTAATCTTATTTCAAAACCCTCTTAGAATTGATAGCTTAAGACTGCGCTTAATTGAAATACTCAGAAAGGGTAATAAAGACTAACCACAAAACTTGTTTCAATTATTTACTTAACAATTTTTCTAAGAAAATAAATAAAATAACTGCTTTTGTTTTTAGCAAAAGAGGACCTATAGTTAATCATCATGATGAACAGTTAAAACTCTAATTTTTTAAAAACTAAACTATCATAAGATCATAAATAACATTTGGGAAGAGAGCAGAAGAATGGGAAAATATTTATTATATTACAGTTAACAGTCTAAAATATAAAGGTCTGTTACAAATCTAGGAGAATAAGATCAACAATGCAATTTTTAAATAAGCAGAAACAATTTACAAATGGAAACATAGAAATGAAAACGCTTGTAACCTCATCAAAATGCAAATTAAAATTTCACATTTACTCCAAGCAAAATTCTATAAATTTTGTTATTTCCTACTAAAATATTATAAATAGGTATGCTCTGTGTCCCAGAAGTACAACTTCCAGAAACTTCTCCTTTGGGATTAATTGGGTAAGTAACACAGATACACGTGCATGCATGTTATCACAGCTCTCTTTAGAATTTCAAAAAACTAGCTACATATCAAACACTCATCAGGAGAAAAATACTTAAAGGGGTTATGTTAACATTTGTATAATAGAATGCTACATAGCTACTCTTGTTCTAACATGGAAAGATGTCCCTAAGACTACAGGTCTTTCAGGTTTGATCTCAGTCATGTAAGTACAAGATTTACAGGAGGAAGAGAGTAAAGAAAGGAAAGAGAGGCAGTAAAAACATAATGCCCAAACACTGTCAATGCTAATCTCTAGGGCTGGGATCACGTGAGAGCTTTAGTTCTATTTCTAGGTTTTGTCCCACTCTACACCCTTCTCTCCACCCCCACCCCCCATATCACATGGGGGAGTAGGAAAACACAGTGGTTAAGAGCACCTATACGTTCTAGAGACAGAGATCAAATCCCAGCTCTACCACTCAGTAGCTATGAAACCTAGGGCAAACTACTTCACCCTTTGTGCCTTCAATTTTTCATCTATAAAATGGAGATATAGTTGCTAGGAGGTATAACTGAATTAACACTTGTAAATACTTAGAACAGTTCCTGGTACACGTGTATTAGCTACATAAGTGTTAGCTCTTATCAAATTATATAATAATGACAAACAATACACTGCTTTCCCAGTAAATGGGACAGATATGATATGAAAATGGAAACAGGAAGTTATGCTTTCCCATAATCTGGTGTATTCACTGAGGATATCAAGTTTTATCAAAGGATAAAACCAGATAACACTATTTGGTTCAAAATACTCATCTGACTAAAAGTAAAGAAGCTAGGCTTGTGTAGCATAGAAGTGAGTTTAAAAACTGGTCAAACAATTTCAAAACCCCTTCAGATCTAAGACAACAATAACCTCAAGGTATTAAGTACAGTGAGGATTTTTAGGTAGACTGCATTTAGATAGTGCTTATGTCATGTTAAAAACCCACTGCACTGCTCTCTCATTACAAGTCCCAGGGATGCAGAAGTGTGGGTTTAAAATGCACAGGGTCTGGCCCACCTGACTGTGGGTCACTCCCTCTTGGTGCCCACCATTCAAGTGTGTCTTTGTATTATTCTTGTCATTAATACCCTGTTTCTCAGCAAGTAACATGAATTATAATTATTTGAGGTTTACAGTTATTTGGGTTATAGTCTGAATTACTAATTTTATAATTATTACCATCCTAAGTGCAAGAAGGGAATCAATGGTTTTAAATCTATTAAGTCTTACTCATGCACACTTTCCTTTTGCTAGTTGAAAAATAAACCATCTGAAATCCCAGCTAAGTTCTATTCAAACTAACTTTCTGAGCTGGTAAAACTGTTGGGAAAATCAAAATTAGGCTATAGCTATGCAAGGACAAAGGTCTAACTACAGGATACAAGATCTTGGAAATTAAGAGCTGAAATGACAGAAGGATAATCTTACACTCCATTTTAAGAGAATCGTTTATGCCACCATGTTTTTACTATTACTCCACCCTGAAAGATCTTCTTTCTTGATCTAAAATTTTACTAGTATGGGGGCGCCTGGGTGGCTCAGTCAGTTAAGCGCCCAACTTCAGCTCAGGTCATGATCCCAGAGTCCCGGGATCAAGCCCCTCATCAGACTCCCTGCTCAGTGTGTAATCTGCTTCTCCCTCTGCCCCTCGCCCGGCTCTCATGCTCTCTCTCACTCTCGCTCAAATAAATAAATAAAATCTTTAAAATTGTACCAGTATGTTTTTATCTCCATTCATACTGAACGCATCTAGTGCCGCTGAAGGTAGCCCTGGCTGTGACTAATCTTGCCTTGCAAAAAGTAGTCTCCTCTAGAAAATAAGAATCCAAAGTTCGCAGAGCACACAAATCAAAGCCACTTCTTTCTACTGTGCTCACTGAATAAAAGTAGAGATATATCACCCACGAACCATAGCAAGTACTCCCTCAGGATCCCCTGAGTTAAAATACAGCTCCTTGGGAAAACAAGAAACCATTTTCTTCCTCCTTATCTGTTCCACCTATTTGTGTGTGACTCTCTCCTTAATTTTCTTAACCCCCCAAGAAGAAAATATATACCACTGAATAAAGAGTCTTAGTAAACTGAATTGTGTTCATATAGCTAAAATGATGATTCCAGAGTAGTTGAACATAGTTTTATAGACATATTTCCTGCTCCGCTTTTTAAAGGGCTTTACTAGCCATATGTCCAACCTGTTTTAACTTCTTTGTAAAAATTAACATCTGATGGATTTAGTCAGGGGAGCATAAACGCTCCCCTCTTAACCAGGTAGTAAAATGATTTCTTGGGTGAGAGGTGAGGATATTTTGATCAAAGACTTACTGCAAAATGCAATTAAGTGGATGGATTACTACACAAGAGCTTTAGCACAGTGCTTAGTATATAAAAGATGCTAAATACTTGCTAAACGAATGACAATTTTAAGAAAGAGGCTGTATAAAACTAGAATGTCTTGAGAAGCTAATAGGACTACAAAAGGATTAGAAGGAAGGATCCCTAACTTTCCAAAAAAGGGTAGGAGGCCTGGGATTAAGGAACAAGCCGCTGCTAGGCACAGGTGACTTAAGTAGAAGTCAAGGCTTTTAGAAACCAAATCCAATAAAATGCCAGAATATCATGAGGATCTATCTACCTACATACCTATTTCCTTATTTCCTATCTACCTATTTCCTTCCTTCCTTCCTTTTCAGATTAATCTTACCCATAATTAATGTGAGTTTGGGAGCCTTTGCTCTAAATACAAACTATTCACTCACCATCTTTTCTTTTCATACTTTTCTTGTAGGAACTCTTTCACTTTCTGTGGATCCCTGAAGTCTGGAATTGCTGAAGATCTATCATCAAATAATCCTAGCCAAATCTGTTTACAGACCTTTGGAAAGAATTAAAAAAACAAAAGTGTTAATTTCAACATCTTAACTTAATGAAATTTTAAGGGAAAATTAGGATTCTTTCAAAAAGCTAACCTACTTAATACCACTCCTTTCAATGAGAATATTTACCACAAAGAAAAATGAAGCAACGAATGAAGTAAATTTATTTTAATATATTCCAGTCTGCAATAAAATCTTAGCAACAGCATTATAAAAAATAACATCTCACAAGGAAACAACTAATGAAATGGGATTTGAGGGGATTTGGGACTTTTTGGTCTTGAAATGACCATAAACTGTAAGCCCTGAACTAGGTCGTATACTTTTATAAACCTCAGTTCCTTCACCCATAAAACAGAGGAATTAGACCAGCAGCAATTTCATGGATCTTTGACAGATTAAAAAATCAACCAAAAAAGCGGCGCCTGGCTGATTTCAGTCAGTAAAGCATGTGACTCTTTCTTTTAAAAAAAGACTTATCTATTTACTTATTTGAAAAAGAGAGAGCAGGCACATGCTTGTGCATGAACAGCGGGGGGGGGGGGGGGGGCGCGTCAGAGGGAGAAGGAGAAAAGAGTCTTAAGCAGACTCTGCATTGAGCATGGAGCCAGACACAAGGCTCAATCCCAGGACCCTGAGATCACAACATGAGCCGAAACCAAGAGTCAGATGCTTAACCGACTATGCCACCACCCAGGTGCCTCTAGAGCATGTGACTCTTGATCTCAGGGTCATGAGTTCAAGCCCCATGTTGGATGAAGAAATTAAAAAAAAAAATAAAAAATAAAAAGTACGAGAATCATAAATAATTTGAGCTTAAAGTATAATAACAATAACAAAAATACAAGGCAGATACAACTTTAGCTTTATAATCACCTCCTATGCTTTCTTACCCCTAATGGTTAAAATGTAAGAATCTGAGATATTTAACTTTTTAGAAAAATTACAGAAATGAAATGATGCAGAACTCAGAACACAGAGAGCAGAGAAATATAAAGAAAAAACTGATAAGGTGGACTTCAAAATTTACAACTCTTGCTCTTCAAAAAAACTTAAAAGAAAAAATGAAAAGGCAAGCCACCAACTGATAAAAAGTACTGGCAAAATGCGTTCAGAACCTAAAAGAACATGAATCCAAAATACATTTAAAAATTTCTAAAACTCAATTACAAAAAACTTGTAAGAGTGGGCAGAGAAGTTGAACAGACACTTCACTAAAGACATACACATCACAAATAAGCAGGCCAAATCACCAGTCATGCAGAAAATAAAAACACCAAGACTCCACTACATAGAAACCCATAGATACCACTAGATGGCTAAAAATAAAAAGATTAACCATATCATGTGTTGGTAACAATGTGGAACAACTGGAACTCTCAAAAATGTTAAAATGGTACAACCACTTTGGAAGACTGTTGATGATTTCTTAAAAGTTAAATATATACCTACCAGATGACCCAGCCATCCCACTTCTAAGTATCTACCCAACAAAAATAAAAAACACATGTCCACACTCAGATTTGTAAACAATGTTCACAACAGCTTTACAGATAATAACTCCGAAGTGGAAACAACCGAAAATGTTCATCAATAGGTTGAATGGATCAATTTTGGAGTATCCAAGTAGGATACTACTCAGCAATTGAAAGGAATAAATTATTGATACAGGCAACTACACGAATAAACCTCAAGATAATTATGCTGACTGAGAAGCCAGACCCCCCTCTAAAGTACATACTGTATGATTCCACTCATTTATATTTTAGAAAATATAAACGTATCTATAATGATAGAAAGGAGATCAGCAGATACATTACAAATGGGCCCAAAAAAAACTCTTCGGGATAATGAAAATGTATGTTGTCTTGTCACTATAGTGATGGTTTCACATATATCAAAATTCATCAAAATTGTATAGTTTAAATAAGCACAAGTTATTGTAATTATTCTTCAGTAAAGCTATGACACTAGTCCACAAGTTTCCAAAATTATATTGTTTTAAAAAACAACCAATTATTACACTGTGAAAAGAACAGTATCTAGCTTCAAAAAGCCTGACAAGATGTGAGGAATCAGGATGAAAAGCAGCAGCACGCCTCTCAATCTCTCAATCGCACCCTGCTCACTGAAGTGTGTAAGGGAGAAAGGGGAACCATAAAAAGGACTCACCCTTCTCCTCCAGCTGGACCCCAAGCACATTTCAAGACAACTTTTCCTGTGGTTCCCTCCTACTCCAGGCTCAGTACAGACACGATACCATCATTACGGCAGGACAGCTGACACACATAAGGTCTAGGCTATGGCACAATCTCATTATAAAAAATTTTCAGTGGCAAAAACCAAGAAGCACAGTCACCCAGAAATGGTGATGCAACTTACTGCCGGAAATACCATCAACCCTGTAGAGGGCCAGTTTCTCCAAAAACTATGTAACACCCTTTAAAAAGAACCACATGGGACTCTCCTTAGTCAGAAACCTGACTAATGATTCTCCAAAAATGTAATTTTTGAAAGATGCTGTGGCTTTACAATTACATTTATAAAGGGGGGATCAGAAGTTTCTAAATCTTCTATCTTAAAAATTCCCAAATGAGAAAACAAGAGACATGGTAATCATTTGCCCAAGGCCAAAGAATTATTAACTGTGACTGACACAATTAGTTCAGGACACTTTATGACATTTAGTCATTACATTCCAAAAATCCCCATTAACTACCATATACAATTTCTTAAACTACAAACAGTGAATAAATAACAAATACACAAATCAAAATAAGATGGCCTGAAGAGAGATCATTAAGTTACTGTCTTGGCACTCATCATGGTAAAATAAAGCAAAGATGACGTACTTGATGGTAAACTTTATATAGACAGCTGGCCTTAGCAGCCTGTAGACCCTGCCACTCAAAATTCTGAACGAACTGCTGCGGTACTGCTCCGGCTTGCTGACTGGAAAAACCATTAAAACTGGCTGCTTTGGTCCACTACAAATTCATGCCATCTCACTATCAAAGCCCCTTGATATTGGTCAGTTCTTATTTCTGACTGTGTTACCCCACAATAACTATTTTCTATTTTGCTCAAAATCCTGAGTGAATTACTAATAGGGCAAGCAGTACCGAGACCTGTGGTCATGAGTATTAAAATGAAACCAGTCATAAAAGTTGTGTGTTTCCCTCCAGCCTCATCTGGTTATATAGGTACAAAGTAGTCAAGTGTTGGCTTTAATCAAGGTAAAATACAACAGAAGTTAAAAAGGAGTGGTTATAACAGACCATGGAATCTAAAGTGAGAAAACCAAAGATATGAGGAGGATGATGGACAACAAAGAAGTTTAGGTTCAGGTTGTAATAAAGTTGCTGGGAGTAAGAAATTAGAGGGAATGAGCGGGGAAGAAAGAAGTGGGGGTGCTCAGAGAACAGGATGTTTGAAACTTGATTCAGTTATTGATAAATAAAAAGTCTAAAATAAGATGCAAGATTATAGGAGGTTAAGAGGTCAAGGAATTCAGGAGGCCGACTTATCTATTATTTTGATAATCATGGGGATTATCCATGCAGATACTGAGATTGGCAGAAATGATTAACACTAGTAAAAAAAAGAAGACATTATGTAAGGAGCTAAAATCTATAATGAATGAGGAGCCCCACAGGTATGACTGCAGTAAGAAGCCACAGCAATTGATAAAATCTACTTGCACAAGAAGCATGCGGCTGGGTGCCCAGAAACACCACTGGGGAGCAAGAATGAGACTGAAAAGCCAACATTTGAAAGAGCTGCACTCATGATGTAATTAGTTCTGATAATCTCTTTGAGGGAGGTGGATAATCAGTTCTAATTATAGAATAATGTGATGGCTAGGGTAGTTCAGAGCCTAGACTAGGGAATCAGACAGCCTGAATTTGAATTCCAACTCGGTTTAGTAATAGAATCTGCTTCACAGGGATGGTGGAAGGGTTAAATGAGTTAATAGGAGTTTTCTACTCTGGAACAGGCATATATGTGAACTTTAACTAGTATTAGTTATTATTACTTTCAGAGGTGGGTTATGAAACAGTAAAGTGAGCAAGGGCTGGGAAGTAGAGGTCTCCTCAGGAACACAGGAAACTGAGTCTCCCTTCTTTCCTGCTACAGACAGAATCAAAGTTGTCTTGATAAAATAATCTCCCTCCTCCAAACTTCTCTTTTTTAAAAACATTTTATTTATTTATTTGACAGAGACAGACACAGGGAGAGAGGGAACACAAGCGGGGGGGGGGTGGTGGGTGAGGGAGAAGCAGGCCTCCCACTGAGCAGGGAGCCCCATGCAGGACTCGATCCCAGAACCCTGAGATCATGACCCGAGCTGAAGGCAGACACTTAACCAACTGAGCCACCCAGGCGCCCCTTCTCCTCCAAACTTCTATAGCACTTTGTACCTCTCACATGAGATTCATTACCAACTGCCTCATATTCAAATTAGTGCACGCGTCTCTTGTACTTTTGAATTCCCCACAATGCTTAAAATTAAAAAGATGGGTTGTGCCATAGTGTGCGTTCAATAAATATACCAATAATGCTCAAAACCACACATCATTTATTTTAAAATAAAATTACATATCAGCCAACAGAATAAACCCATGAAATTGTCAGGGTAATTTTTTCCTTATTCTAGTGCTAATCCACTTTAGAATTGCAATCATAATAGTCACTGACAGAACCTAAAATATTTTAAAGCATATTTATCAGTCAGGGTTGCCATAGAAAACAAGTGGCATACTCAATTTGTGAAATTTGAAAAAAGTTTAATAGGCTACTTACAAAGCACAGAGGCTGTAAGGAAATCACATGAGTATAGTTCCCCGCATTAGTAAGAGCAGGGCCCAACCCTACCCACTGGCAGTGAAGGGAGGAAGAGAGGAAGATGTCAGTAACCTTAAAAGGAAGAGGGCTACTTAATAGGAGTTGGACCTTCAATGGAAGGATGCAGAAAGACTACAAGAAATCCCACAGGGAA